ACCCCCCCCCCCCCCCCCCAACCAAAACAAAAAAACCCCCCCCCCCCCCCCCCGAAAAAAAAAAAAAAAAAAAGCTGACAAATTATGGCTTTTATATTTCGATAATAAGTAAAGAACAAACCAATGCAGAACAACCCAGACCGAACAAAATTCAAGAATACAGCAGTTAATTATATCTACAAATAGCAAGAGTAATATGCCAGTAAAAATTCAATCATGTTCACTCCATTGAAAAGACAAAAACCATAAAAAATTATACAGTTATCATCAAGAAAAAACCCATACAGGACTGCTTCAAAAAATAGAGACATGCTCTCCACAACAATTATCATATTGTACTAATCATAGAGCTCATCTGCAGATAAAAAAAACCCTATAACTAAGTAAAAAAATTATTAACCCAGTGAACATCCTAAAAAAATAAAACAAGGCAAGTAACTACCTTGCATCAGCCATAACTTGGACTTTAGCACCATCACCATGTAAATCATAAAAGAACAGCTTTGCAGATGAAGATCGTTTATTCATTATTCGCCCTTGCAATGAACAAACATTATACACATTAATGGGAAAAAACCACAAAATTATGATGATAATTACCTAAGATATTGAATTTTCTGACTTTAGATACCAGCCAAAGATACTTCAACATCCTCACAATGATCCCCATCCTCCAAAACTCCATATTCCTTAACAAATTCGGGGATGGACATTGACGTATAGAACTTGTGAGGATATGGATTTGTTCCAGCTGTCTTCTGAGCTGCTAGTACTTTCTGCCTATTTTCAAAGTATTGCTACAGGCATAACCACACATAAAGTTCAAGAAAAGTAGAAGGTCCAGTAACAACGTAGAGAAATACACAGGCATTCACTCAGGAGGACAATAAAGTACGAATGAACATGCAAGCAAGAAGGAAAAGAAATATACTGTTGGGTCCATGTCCTCGTCATCTGCTAAAAGGGTCCTTTGGACTCGTGAGCTTTGCATGACCGCAGCCTGGAAAAGAATGCCGCTATCACTATATTTCATAATGAAATCACAAGGTACTTATTTCAAATGGGTCCGTTCTATTCCTGAAGATAATGATGGAAATCCATTGTCTGACTGAGTAATTATTTTGCTTGAATTTCTTCTTTCCCTTCATATACAACATCCGGAAAAAGTAAAACTAAAACCAAAAGAACACCAAAGCAAGAACTCGTCATGATCCCAAAATCATCAACAATAATACTTCTCAAACAAATACAGTAAATTCATTTGTGTGTGCACATATGGATGCTGAGCAAGAAACTGAAAATGGGAAGTTTTGTATGAATCTTGTGTATGGTCTCATGTTTAGAATTAGAGATAACACAAATTTTATAATGTGATAAATTTAAGTTTAGGAAGCTTGTAGTCATATTCATTCATATTTCAGAGAATTTTGGTCCCTTTAAAACTTGCTAAACATGGACTGCAGTTGTAATATTGTGGTCCATGGGTCTCACCTTGAATCCAAATGCATTTATTTAGATTAATTTTGGGCCTCTTAGAAATCAAGAAATATCTAATTGGAAATCTTAGTACCAGTAGAATTAGGAGAAACCCAGCCCCACGGAAAAGCTAGGTCATCTTTCTACTTACTAGTATATTATACGCAAGGATTTAAGATTGTGTTGGGGAGTTGTTGCGTAACTCTTTCGAGAACGAAGTGCAAGGATTCTTTCTTCTTGTTCCTCTCATTCTTCTAAGATCTTTTGCTGGTAATCAACGAATGCAAACTTTTTCTTTAACCATAGATGTAACAGTCGAGTAAGACCATTGTTCTACTTCATGAACATCAACCTCAAAACCTAAAACTAGGAGAAATACTGAACTCAACATTCAAGCATATTGTACAGAGCCTCCAAACCCCTTTTTACATCATCAACCAATCTCAAATCAACCCTAGCCTATTAGGCTAACCTTCATCCACGCCTAAACTCAAAAACTTCCAAGGAGTCCCAAATCCTCTGCAACTTATTTTAATGTTCCTTCAACTCATCACTTTAAAAAACAAGTCAATTCCAGCCCACTTCCTCCACTAAAGTCTACTCAATCTATTTTCTAAAATCCAACTCAAGAAGCAATTCACAATCAAACTCCCCACATTACTACTGGGAGAGGGTTCACAACCAAAACTCACCATAGTACTAGTTGGAGAGGACACGAACATAAGTTTCCTAAAGCTATCATACATCATGGATGAGTATACATATGCATATGAATGTACACATGTGCTATTCATGATGGGTAAGTAGCTACTGGGCTGATAAGTAACTTGCACAAAGCACAATTCCATATCTGTTAGTAACATATACATCATGTATAATTTTCTTCAACCCTAGTAAAAAGAAACAAGAAAAATGTTATTAGAAGAACAGAATTTTCAAATGCTTACTTAGATGAATTTATAAGGACTAAAATGTTGATGAAGTAAAGTTTATGCAGTAGTCATTCAAAGGTTCAGTTAAGCAGTAATTATCCCAACAATGCACATGTGCGCGTGCAAGCTAATAAGAAGAATTATTTTTTACCACTTATCAAATATTGGAAAAAAGTTTCCTTATAAAATACATATAATTTATAAAACAGGGTTGGCCAATCTTATGCAGTGTTAACAGTTAAAAAAAAAAAATTGACAAGTTCTGAAGCAAGTACTTGCCGGTAGGAGCTCTAATGGGTGCAACTTATTCAAAAGCATAAAATGTGTGTATGCATGCATAAGCTATTTAGCACAAATGATTGGAGTTCTATTTTAGCCTTGGAGATGTGCACAATAAACTTCAGAAGCATGAAGATTGAAATAGGTGCGAGTGTGAGTAAGATGTTTCTCTTATCAAGTATTAGCAGTGTGTCAAGTGTTAAGATGTTTNGGTTCTATTTTAGCCTTGGAGATGCGCACAATAAACTTCAGAAGCATGAAGATTGAAATAGGTGCGAGTGAGTAAGATGTTTCTCTTATCAAGTATTAGCAGTGTGTCAAGTGTTAAGATGTTTCTCTTAGCTTATGCATGCATACATACTTTTTGTTTCTAACCGGAAAGAAGTTAACCCATTTGTCACCAACAGATAGGTTGCACTTCAAACTAATGTGTTAAAAACTTCTCTTATTTAACACGAGTTTCAAGTGCAACCTAGGTTGGTTACAAATGGGGTGGCTTATTTCCATCTATAAACAAAAAATAACCATAAGCACATACTCCATATTGTCTAATGTGGCTGAAGAGCTGCAACAGGAGGCAAATACCCTTGGCAGCAAAATCTTTTCAAATCACAGATCCCCTAAAAATGCATTCTACCATCATGATGGGTTAGGCTCAATTATTACCAAAACTTTTAGCCATTGGCCTAGTCACAAAACAAGACATCAGATACCCAACAATGAGACCCAAAAGCTAATGAAGCCAAAACTTAGAAAGGTGCATGCTACAAAAATAATAGATTATGTATCACGAGATTCCTGAAACCTTAGTTGACAAACTCTACCAAGTAAAACTCTACCATATTTTCCCCAAGTTGTCTCAATTACATAATCTACTTGATGTGGACAATCAACTTGTGGAACCACATAACATTCAAGGATGTATAACTTCAAAAGAATACCTTATCTTATTGGTGAACTGCACACCTAGTGCTGCGGGCATATAGAAACGTGGGTAGAGGAAGCCTCAAAAAGCGAAGGCCGAGTTGTAGGTGACGTGACCTACACCGATTGGTGGTCAAATTGGTCAGGCCAGGCCCCCGCCCCTGGAACAACGAATTAAATAGGTGGTTGGGTTCTCTTTCTACGACCCTGAGCCCCTCACTCTATGTGGTATCATATCATATGTTGATGCAAATAAACTAGGACATCTAAGCCTACTCAGGACCACTTATCACTCCATTGCCGGGATAACGACACAAGGTGGCTCAACAACAAAATTTACAGGATCTCAAAGATGGACTGACATGTTGCTATACATCAATAGATGCGCAATCACTTTCACACAAGCACACCCGCTCACAAAGGGCATTAAAAATTTTGAGCTTCCAGCAAACTTATGTCAAAAAAAAACCAGTTAAAAAAAATATTGTCTTGATTGCTAGGTTCTCTTTTTTCCAAGCTGTCTTGTCAACCAGACTGCGGGTTAGGCATATGACTTAACGAAAATGAAAATCAAACATATATTCACAGTCACACAGTTAGCATTGATACGCAAACCAATAACAACCAACAACATAGCTAATTTTAGTCGTTTGATTTTCATTTCTCTTCATTACCCACTTTTTCTCGGTAAGCATACGGAGGGTTTTTAGTGAATCACCTTTTTCTCAATCTCTTCCTCTTTGCGTCGCCGTTCCTCATCCCTCTGTTTGTTCTTTAATGCTTTCTTTAAAGCACTATTCCAAATCGAAATCAAAATAAGCATTCTAACATCAAAGACATTTGCATACATATGTGGGTAAAGGGGAGAGGAAGATAAAATTACTTCTTGCTGACGGCTTCTTGTTCTGAAGAAGCAGAACTTGCCATTGACAGACCAGAATTTGCTTTCTGTGCTTCGATCGAGCCCTCCATAGCGCTATATTTGCAGGGGGAGAGAAAAATGAAGTGTTTTTGATATATAGATGCTACTAGGGTTCATGAGGCTTAAGTTAAACGCGCTTGGGTGCTCTTTGACGTGGCCAGTCGCAACATACACGTGACAAGCTCGTGATATGAGGGCGGATCCACGACCCTATCGAGCATCTCCGACGACAAAATATATCTCAGCTACTCAAAAAATAATATTTTTTATTTTAATTACTTACTTTTTTAATATACACTCTAAAAAATTTTTTATATTTTTAACTACTCTTTTTAAATATTATTTCTCATTCTTTTTGTATTATTTTATTTTTTTGAATAGTCAAAGGAAGAAAGAGAAAAAGTGAAAAAAATGAGAGAAAGAGAGAGAAAATAATATAAATTATCTTTATAAGTTACTATAGTGATACTCTATATTTAGAGTATTACTATAATAAAAATCTATTTTACATGTGAACATAATTTGTTGGAGCATGATTTTTGACTTTGATTAGCTAAATTTTAGCTATTTTACTCACTTAATGCATCTATCGGAGATGCTCTCACGAGCTTAAGCTAAGCTAAGAGAAACATCTTAACGCTTGACACACTGCTCAAGTGACTGACCTATAAAAATCTAGCAGATGAAAAAAGTGCACGCTCAAGTAAAATCTCTCTCGCTCGTTCGCTGACTTGAGGAGATAGAGTCTGTATATAGAGAATTATGATAGAAGCGTTTAAATTTTTGATTGGCCGCAATTTCTTATCTTACTTGATTTTATNTCTGTATATAGAGAATTATGATAGAAGCGTTTAAATTTTTGATTGGCCGTAATTTTTTATCTTACTTGATTTTATCCTATTTTATTGAACGACTAACCGTAAAAATCGAGTAAGAATACAGAAGAGTTTCTGTTCTTCTGAATAAATCGGGTAGGAATGCAGAATATCTATTAATTTCCACATTCTTATCCTACCTTACCATACTCGCAAAAAATATATTTAACTTTTTTATATTTTTTTTAGTAATTATAAGAGTATTTGTGTGGTATAATTTATATTATAACATTGTTATTATTGTGGATGTTTAAGTTGCGAAAATATGAACTTGTTTTTTGTGTAGGTTACATGATTTGTGGTAAACTTGTGATCTATTGAAACAGTTATGATTTTAATGTGTTTCATATAGTTTAAACTTAAAATAATTGTTATTGTATTTGTGTAACAATCATGATGGATTGATATTCATGATTTCTTATGTTTTATTGTAATTCTTGTTGTAGTTGTTTTAGGTTTTAATGTTATTAATTTATTGTGTTGTTAAATTGGTATATGTTATTTAATTGAATTGTTAAAATGATCCAAAAATTAATAGTTACAAAAATATTTATTCGATTAATAGGGTAAGAAGTCGAGTAGGAATACCACACCTGATCGGGTAGGGATAGACCAAGAAAAATTTTTTACGTAAAATATCAGATAAGAAGATGAAAGATTATGGTCATGTGTTGGTTATCATCTCGAAAACAATTTTTTGTTCTCAAAATTTCAAAAACACCAAAAATCAATTTGTTTAGCATTTTTGTTCTCTAAATTTTAAAAAAAAATGAGATTTGAGTAAAAAAAAAAACAGAAAACAAGTGTAATTTGTTTTCAAAGTTTTCTTTTAAAATTTTGAAAACAATAAGAACAATATATATATATAAAAACATAAATATGTATAGATATATAATAAAACAGAAAAGAGTTTAAATCTTATGCATAATATATTTTTCCCCCAAAAACTATCTCATCCAACCCATCACCTCACTCTTAACGTTACACGGGCTCACCTGCACACAATCGCCACACACATGCATCCATCACCTGCACCCAGATCACAAATCCTAACAAACCCTTCACAGAGCTCCTCTGGTTCTTCCTTATCGCATCATGTATCAAATTCCTCTAACCTACTCTCTCCCAATGGTACCAGCCCCTTGGACTCTGGATTACCCACCATTCTTTGCTCATTTCGAACACTTCCTCTCCCTCTTTGCCTAGTTTATCGACCCTCTCATGGTCCAGAGAGTTTCAGTAATCGTCTCTAACATCGTTCTGATGTACGAAGTTAATTGTTCGACTCAGAATTTGGAGAGAAGAAAGCGAAATTTGGTCTGGGTATTGGTGATTTGGTCACTTGGGTTGCTGATTGATGACCATATTCACTTTTCAGTATAATGAGTTTCTTTTAGGGATTTTGTTGGTTTCTTTGGCGGCATTGCAGGAAGGAAAGGATTTGGTTTGTGGGTTTGTATCTCCAACTATTTGTTTAGATATTGTTGTGTTGTTTGGTTCTTTCTTATTGTTCGAATAATGGTCTTTGTTTTGTTCTTTCGTATTGTTCGATTAATGGACCACTGAGTTCTTTGGATTTGAAGTTTCTTAGGATTTTTGATTTTGTGTTCTTTAATACTTTGTTGTGTTATATTGAGTAAAGGAGCGATCTCATAACTCTTTTGGGGGGTTCTTGAGCTTTTGGGTTTGTATCTCCAGGTTAATAAATTGTCTTTCTCTGTTTTCTATCCCAAACTTTAGCATTAATTTTAATGGTGTTTAAAAGGTGTATTTTTTTTTTTTTGCAACTTAAGTCGTATATCCCTAACACAGGTTTTTAGCATCATGTTTGTAGGCATACGTGGTACGTGAGCTTTGGCCATATAGGTTCCTCCATATCGTCACCGACCCATTGAAGGAGCAAGTGAAACGCAACCATCAAGGTAAATTGACATTTATGTTTTTGGGAGGCATCGGATATTTTTTATGATTTGTGTTGCGATTATTTTTCTTGATATCTCTCTATTCGTATAAGTTGTTTGCTTTGTTGCTAGAGGTGATTTCATATTGGTATTTTTTGATGTGGTGTACTTAGTTATAGTGGAAGTTTTTACTACTTATATTGCATTTAGGAGTTTTTCATCTGATTTCTTTATATGTTTGGTTTTGCTAGATTTTAATTTCTTTGTTAGTTTATGAATTGAATTTGTATCAGAAAGAGCTACGGACACATTGCCGCCAACATTGCATGATATTTTTCTATTTCTCCTGTCCAACATCAAGATGGATTTCTTATTTTTTTCCTTTTACTCTTTTTTATCATTGTTTTGGATAAAGTGTAGTAACATTTGACATTGTGTGTTCCTCGCGGTGGGTGGATTCTATTTAAAGCACTCTTCATTTTCAGTCTAATTGAGTATTTACTTTTGTTTGTGGGATTATATGATTGGTTTATTTAGTTATTTGATTGGCTTTTTAATAAGGGTTTGTGTGTGATTTTGCAGACTTTGAAGGAATTTTATATTTGACTTTGAAGCTGAAAAGGGTTTGTTGTTTGAGGTGAGAGGTGGGTTGTGGTCTGGTTCCTGTTGGTTTTGATGGGTGGGTATGATCTGGGGTTTGGTTGGTCTGCATGTTGATTGGTTTTGATGGGTTTCAAGAAGTTTTGATTCATGTGAGTTGAGATAAAACTTTGATAAGCATGGCCTGAAATTGAAGCTTCTGCCATAAACTGGAAGCTAGCATTTTGTATTTTAAGTTACTTTTCTTTTGAACATGTCCATGTATGTATCAACGAAAGTTAAGTTGTTGGTGACAACATTCAATGTTCAATGTTCGATTATTTCGTTGCATCGTGCCTTCAGGCGCGAATTATCCCTATATATATATTATGAAATTATTAATATAAAAATAACTGTAATTGTCAATATAAAAATTATGAAATTGTCAAGTTATATAAAGTATATATATATATACACACATACACACACACAATATATATATACTAGTCATAACTCGTGTCTGAAAGCACGATAAAATATAAAATTTAAACGTCCAAAAAATTGATCTCATATATTAAATTTTTTTAAAATATATTAACTACAAATTAATTAAATATTAAATGATTAAATATATGATAGAAATGAGTCGTGTGATATTTTTAGAAAAGAAATATATAAATAATTAAATATGTGATAGAAATGAGTGATATGATTTAACGTTTGAATCTGACAAAGAGATGATGGGTAAGGTAAGTGATTGATGATGATTTTGAGAGAAAAAATATGATTGAGATAAAATTCAAATACACTCCTGTTTTATTTTATATATATATATATATATATATATATATATATATATTTATTTATTTATTTATCTATTTATTTATTTAGTTATATATATATGTATATTTATTCATATCTATATAAAAACGTATATATGTATATATATATTATGTGTGAGGGGTCTATATATATATATATATATTTTTTTTTTTTAAAATTTGATTTATTGAATTTTTTTTTATAAATTTGTCAATCTAAAAATAAATTTTTTATATTTTTTTATTAATGTTTGAATTACTGTTCAAATATATGTTTAGGCTATCCAAACAAGTTTTACTATTTTCTGTATTGTAAAATTATTTTTGAAATTATCCAACCAAATAAATTTTTTATCTTAAAAAATATCAAAACTATTTTCTTAAAATTTTTTTCAAAAATTATTTTTAGATACTATTTTTTAAAATACAAATCATACAGACCTATATTTCTTATTCGCAGAGTAAGAGAAACACCCCTAAATTACGGGGGGAAGCAAAGGAGACTCGAGGCGTTTATCCATGCAGCAGTAGTGGTAGCGAGGTTTGGGTCTCCTTTTGATAAAAAAGAAAAAAAAGGATTGGGTTCTCACTGTTGAATTACAAAAATAACCCTCATGAGAAGCAATAATCACCGTTTGTGTCCAGCACTCCATTATTATTATTATTTTTATGTTTTTTAGTAGTTTTTTCATTTCTATTGTTCAGCCACTTAGCTTTTTTTTTAAGTTTTAAATGAATTGAAACGAAGTTTCATCATCCTTTTTGTTTCATATGGGCTGGGCCCCATCTAATAAATAAAATTTTTAATGAATTGAAATTTCATCTTCATTTCTTCTGTTCTATTTCTATTTCATTTCGTCTGAGACAATCTGTGTTATGGACGACGACGAGACAGGTCCTCCCATAGACTTTGTACTTCCCAACAATCTCTCCTTAGACTTTGTACTTCCCATAGACGAAAAGTATTTTATTTTGTCCTCGGAAATGTATATTTTTTTTCATTTTGTCCCAATACGTTAATAATTTTTTTTTAAAAAAAGATAACATGCGTTTACAATTAGGTCAATGTGAACTAACCAAAGTAGTTGAAAGTGCAAAATAAAAATTTTAATAGTCCAAGGGGTAAAGTAAAAAAAAAAAGTCATACTGCAGATAGGGTCAAAGTGTAATTTATCCAAATAATAATTCTACAATATTCGAAGTGTCATAGTAAACGGCATGTACAATTCTTTCGGCCCGGCCCACCGGTGACGACAAAAAAAAAAAAAATTCTTTGGAAAAATTGTGGTGCCAAATTTCCCGCCACATCCCTTTTCCACCAAAAAGTTTCAAAGTGAAACTACAAATTTGGCCACAATTTTTATTATGGCAAGGAGCATGTCCAACTGGTTTGCCAAATGTTATGTGAATACTTTGACGACTATTTTTGGTATATGTAAGATTTCTCTAATCGTGTCAATTGTTGATCGGGTAAAAATAAATTTGATATATCTCAATAGATATGTAAAAAAAATTTAATGTAATATTTTATGGAGTTATATGGGTGTATAATGTAATTTATTTTATATAATAACATATAATTTGGTTAGAATTTATGTTTTAAAATTATACTTTTAATTATCACTAGTTGTTGCACATGGATTGCTTTGAGCTGTATTTAAAATTTCTATTTTCAATTTTTGTGATACAAGTTTATTAGTCTAACATAGTAGTAGATGGAACAAATTATTCTTCTCCAATAAAATAATGTTACAGTTTAAATAATTCAATGAACCAAGCAACTTCTAGCCAGATGCGCACTTGAATATATATATATATATATATACTATTTTAAAATGTCAGCACATCAGAAAAAATATTTTTTTTTTACTTTTATCCTCTGAAAAAGTAAATATATCATTCTTATCCTATAAAATTAATGTCATACTTAAACCTAATTAATCACCTCTCGGAATTACTGCCTCTCAATTTTTCAACAGTTATAACACCCCTCCCTCTCCAGCGTATTCACCACGTGGTGAGCAAGCCACGCTCCCTCTCTTCAACTTCCACCTTTCCCCCTCCCTCCATTGCGTATTTATCAGTCGGTGAAGAACAAAAGCTCCGCTCCCTCTCTTCTTCTTCCCCAATTACAATATATGTAGTTTCAGGGATGTTGCTATTAGCGGGTTACGGTGGACTGAAGTTCAGAGTAAACAAAAAAAAAATTATCACTTTTATATAAGGTTGTCAGTACTAATCCACTAAATCACTAATCATTAGGCCAATTTCTCAAATCCCTTAAGGTTTAAGCACCAATAATCATGAAAAAAAAAAAATAGGATTTTCTATTCCTATTTTGATCGAAATAGAGAGGGGATTACTCAGAGGCAGAGAGACAACTGAGCCTGGACAAGTGCCCCCTCAAATTTTTTTATTTTTTTTAGTAAGGTACGTATATTATATATTTATATAATATATTATGTGTATTCCGCTTCATTTATATTATGTCCACATTATTTACCCAAAAAAATTCAAGAATTTAATCCATTTAAAACAAAAAAAATTGAGCCTAATATTATCTCCTCAAATTTATTAAAATTCACCCAAACCTATTACAAAAACTTTTGACCCAATATTAAAAAATTAAAACTTTTGGTTCAATATTAAAAACAAAACTTTTGGGCCACAATTAAAAATTAAAATTTTTGGGCGAACATTAAAAACAAAATTTTTAGACCGCATAATATATTAAAAAATATTTATATTTTGTTAGTATAATGAATACTTAATTTAACCTTGGATAAACAAATATCCTGGCTCTGCTAACAGATTTGTTTGAGTTGGAAACCAACGGTTACTACAGCTTCAACAGGTACCTTGGCCACTGGCCGCTCCATTCCCTTCAGTCTCGAATCAGAGTTTTTGTGTGATTTATTTCAATGGAAATGAACTCTCAACTGCCATCGAATTTGTGGTATCTTACAGTGAAGCAATGCGGCTGGACTGTCGCATCGGTCCGGTTTAGTACCCAACAATGTGGTTCTGATCCTTTATATATATATTTGTGTGTGAATGTGTGTGCTGAGATTGTTCATTGGTTTTGCTGAAAGCCAATAAGAGCTGATTATGGAAATGCTAGAACTGAGTATTATTTTTATTTGGAGGTATCTAAATTAATTCAGTACATCTGTTTCATTTCCAAAAATTGGATTTTTTGTCTTATATTTTTATTTTTTGTTTGGTTGTTGCTGTAGCTTTTTCGGTGTGTGCTTTGATACATTGATGCTTCAGTTATGGTATTGACGTTGAGCTGGTTATCGGTGTTTGGGAGGGGGCATTTATGGTGACTGCGTTCGATGCCAATCACTCCCATGGTATTTCATTAGGTATTTGCCTCCTTAATTTATTTTCGTATCTCTTTTAATAATGCAGTAGAATCAAATATCCCTTCTTTCATATCCAAACGCTTGAACAATTCGATTTCAATCCATGTTGTTGGTTAGCCATGTACCTAGGATGTGGATCTAAACTCCCCATCCAAATTTCCTATATTTTGTATGGTTTAATTCATACACCGAGTTTCTCCAACAAAATGCAAAAAAATGCTGATAATTTGTATTATTACCGAAGGAGAAATGATATATGCAGCATTGTTTGACTTCCTTTTTATGTATTGTTGTTGTTTTTTGGAATTCTTGAACTTTTGATAATGCGGTAGAATCAAATATCCCTTCTTTCATATCCAAAATGGTGAAAAATTCGATTTCAATCCATGTTGTTGGTTGGCCATGTACCTAGGACATGGATCTAAACTCCCCATCCAATTTTCCTATATTTTGTATCGTTTAATTCATACTATCAATGATGAAATACTTAGTTTCTCCAACAAAATGAAAATAAATGCTGATATTTGTATTATTACCAAAGGAGAAATGATATATGCAGCATCGTTTGACTTCGTTTTTTATGTATTTTAGTTGTTTTTTGGAATTCTTGAACTTGCACAAATTAACTTCCACTTCATTTAGTTGACTAGCTACACTTTTTCCAAGTCATTTATTTAGTTATTTATTTTATGTTTCAAAGAACAACTGTTTTGCAGGTTGTATGAATTTTTGTGTTCAAGTGGTCATATAAGGAAAGTTCGTCTTTGGTTTCACATCTTGCCATTTCTAGGGGGCATTTTCGCGTAAGTCTATATGCAAGAGAGACGAATTTGACATTATATTAAAAAGAGTATGTCACGCTTCCATTCAATAAATGGAGTCTCTGTGGAAGCTTGCATATTTGTTGGCACTGGCTCCTGTAACTCTGGTTTTGAGTGTTGTAGCTGTGACATTTGGTTCCACATTTCGAGCTTTAACTATGGAAAAGAAATGGAGCGAAACTGTGATTTTTCAAAAGCATCCATTATTTTAGATAATACCCAAGCACTAATGAGCTGTTGCTGCCTGCTTTTGATGTTCTACTTATTCTCCTTTGTCTCACAACGCCTCACTGCATTCACTGCACAACACCTCGCTGATGACAAACTTTTAAGATTTTGTAAATTGTATTGTGTTGGTTATGCAATCCCTTCCTTCTATACTTTTGGTATTAGCTCTATGTTTTGATCACAGAAGCAGCATGGATTCTGTGAATCCAATGGAGGCACCTTCTTCTAAAGGGCACAAATGCATTTGGTATGCCCTTTTTGGATATTCAGTTGGAATAATAACTGCTTTAGGAGCTGTCATTTTGACACACTCGCCTCAACCAACACTTTTATATCTGGTATGATGGTATCAAATTGCATTGTTATCAAAATCGGATAGGATCGGCCGGTTGGACCGGTTCAATCGTGAACCAGGACCCTAAGCAGTCCGGTTCCTTAATTGAACCGTTTAAAATTGGAAAATCGGCCAATTTTTAACAAAAACCGTGAACCGGCAGTTTTTTAGAAACCGAACGGTTTAATGCTTATTTAAAAATTAAATTACATAAACTAATTGATTCTATATTATTTTTGGTATTTGGGGCTCTTTTTTGCCCTAAATCTGTAAATCGCAGCACCACTGCTAGGCTCCAGCGACCAAGGCTCTTCGTCGTCTTCGATCAGGCTCAGCACCACCACCGTCGTCTTCGACCAAGGCTCAGCACCACCACCACCGTCTTCGACCAAGGACTCTTCGTCGTCTTCAACCAAGGACTCAGCACCACCACCGCCACAACTCCAGCGATTAGGCTCCAGTCCAAGGATCTTCGACTGTAATCACTGATTAGCCACAATGATCAGCGACCAGGCGAGGCGACAGGCTCCAGCGACCAGGCGAACTCTAGCAACATCAGGCTATAAATTAAGGTAAAACTTCCTTTCATTAGTTCATATCTCAATAACCAAAACTGGTGGTTGATTTTGGATGTAAACGAAAATGGTTTGTGCATCTATCGGGCTTGATTTCTTTGGTTTTGATCTTATTGGTTTTGACTCTTGAATGGTGGTTGATTTCAATAAACAGGTTATAGGATTCAACTCAATAAACATAAACATATTTTATATTTTTTAGCTAAATGAGTATGCTTTATAAACATTATATATATTTTTTATTTTTTTTATTATATGGCCGGTTCGACCAGTGACCCACTGGCTGAACCACTGAACCATTGACTCAGTTCCCTAGCCGGTTCGATGACCGGTCCAGTTCTGATAACATTGTCAAATTGTAATTTTATGATCTCCAATACGAAGATAAGGAAAACTGGAAAAAAAAAAAAAGTTAAACTGGCAAAAAAAAAATCAAAAAGTAAATATTTGGATACATAATTACCCCAAAAAAGAAAAATCATTGATACAATTAAATATTAAAATAATCTTATTATGTGGGTAACAAATTGTTCACTTAAAGTAAAATGTTTACTCATTACAATTTGAAGTTAAAAAAAAAATCAGTAGGGACCTTACCCTTTCACAATGAAACACTCGTTGCCTACACACAACATATGCTAATTGGTGTCCTAGGCCCACTTGAAACATGTATTTTGCACTCACACACGTTAAGACTACACACATGTACTTACAGTAGCAAAACAACACACCCGATCTCTCTGTTTGGGGCAGCTCACCCTCAACACGCACAAGCCCACATAAAACTACTTAGATCATAAATTATTTCAAGAAAGAGTTGGACATGGAGATGAATGACGTGACATCAAAAAAACAAAAAAATCTATATAATAAAGTACAATACAATTTAAATCTAAAAAATGAACAAAATAACTTTCACTTTTTGCGATTGAGATATCTTTAAATTTTATTTTAAAATTAATCCAACAGTTAATATTAACACTTTAAATTTAATAGGGAAAATATGTCTCTAAGAGTATGTTTGAAATAATTTTTTAAAAGTATTTATATGAATTATAACTTCTTATAAATATTTTATAAAAAAAAATAGTGTTTAAAACTGTCCAACCACAATCACTATGTCCACCGTCCCACCGCCATTACCATAACTGCCCCCCCCACCACCACCCCATCACCACCGCTATTGCCACCCTACCACCATCCTTACCGCCTCACCAGTATTCCCACCAGTGCTATCACCCCACTGTCACCACCACCGTCCCACCATCGCCACCACGACCCCACCACCACCACTATTGTCATCCACGACTGCCACCATCACAATTGGTCGTCGTCACCCATCACAATCATCACCACCACTCACTCTCATTATAACTAGTGCTTAAAATATTTTTCTCTCTTCTATCTTTTGTAATTTGATTTTTTGTGTGAATACAAATACATTTATTGTTGATTTTTTTTATTATTTTGTGCCTTTAGACAAGGGAAATAACTAGTGTATATACATGAAAGAAACAACTTAAGTACCAACCAAACCCAAATATAATGAGCATCGGCTTGAGGATGGATGAATACGATGAGAAAAAAATATATTGAAAGTTTTGTTGTTATTGTTGTCACCATAGGTGCAATTGTTTTTGAATAAAAAACATTAAATATGCAAAAGTAAACAATTGTTGGGGAAAAAAAAGGAAACACTAGAAAATGTTTTAATGTATGAAGTTGAAAACAATTGCAATACAGACCATGCATTATGAACTTATAAAATAGCCTGAATGTTTATTTAGAACCGAGCCTTAGTCTTTCAACCAAGCAATTTTGAAAAGAAAACTTTTTTTTTTTTTGGAATTCCAAGTGCCTCCTAACAATACCATAGCAAATACGAGATAATTTTTTTTTTACATTTTCCTTGAAGGAAAAAAAAAAACTCAATGTTCATGATTGCTGAAGTAAATAGGTTATCGTTTTTGTGTGTAGATTCAATGTTTACATGGTCAAACAATTAATTCTCATATGACAAATATTCAAGGATGAACATGGTAATTAGAGAGGATATAGACTACAGAAAAGACATCATAAGATAATTAAAGAAGTTCCAACTCTGATGCTCTTTCTTATATTTGTTTTCTAGTTGTGATTTTTTTTGTAAATTTGATACATTTGTAATAGAAATTGGTGCTAGGAAAAATTTTGACAAAAACTGCACGTATATAGCTGCAGCCAAATGTCATCAGTTCAGTCAAGTTGTTATATTTTGGTTGGACTCTAATTCTATAGATGATTTTATTTACTATCATGAATGGATTTTGGATGACGAAGAAGAGTATTGAAGTTTTGTGATTAAGAGCATTGATGGTCGCAGAAGATGAAAGTTTTTGGGGAAGTAATTTTTTTTTTTTTTTAAATTTTGATTGATTAATTTGTTCTATTTTTTTGAGATAGTTATGATCTAGAGACATTTCTAGGTCGTTTGGAATTCATATGTGGGTTCATGTTACACAAAGAAATAGAGCTATGAATATCCTTGTAATATTTCACTTTTAAGATCAAATTGGTTCATATGTTGGTTCTTCAATTTTTTATCTGCAATTTTTACTTATAACTCAAGGCATGTTCGATTGATTTATGAATTTCTTGTTCTTTTAAATGCATTTATCTCGCATGCATGGATTGGGTGATAGCATTTTATTTTGATACATTGTGTTTGTTAATTTCTTTTGTTGAATTACCTTATCTCTTTGTTATAACAGCTCCAAAGGCACATCCCACAGTGCATTAGATTTTTCTTATCGTAAGTTTTGTGTATTTTGCACAATAATTGTTTAACAAGCTGAAAACTCTTAACTAGCCATAAACCTTGCAGTAAAGTTGGTGTGTTGGAGGACAATGGTGCCTAATTGTCACTACCCCCATTGTTGGACCTTGAGGTCACGGGCTCGAACTTCATTGCCCCTTCTTGTTATATACATATTGTTCAGAAAAGAAAAGTTGGTGTATTGAGTAATCATGACAATTATGAGTAAACAAAATATTGTCCAATTACAAAATTTTAATACGTATTTGTGCTTTCAAGAAGTAGGTAACCTTATTTGTTAGAGGAATTGTTGATGCTGAGTTTACTATAGACTATTCCTAATTAATATAGATTATTCCTAATTGCTTTAAGGAATCTCATGTGTTGTTAATTTTCTTATGACATTAGGGATATAACTTTGTTTGTTTTTCTTACCCTTGGCCATTTTTGCATCCATCTGAGAGTCCATTCAAGTTGATGCATGGATTTTTTTTTTATATCTGATGATTAATTTGTATTACGTAGTTTTTTCATCTTTTAAATATCTATGTTTTAATAGGTATATGCTTACAATTTATTTTCTCAAAATAATCCATGTGCAAAACACGTGTGCACCAACTAGAATATATAAAAAAAAAACGATTTTTTGCCATAAAAAAAAAACCCAGATTTTAAGCAGCCATAGCAACCATTAATGGAGGCTGACCCCTAATGCTCAACTTGTGTTGGTTGTGGCCACGTGACCAATAGATTGAACACTAAAGTATGATCCAAATTTGAAAAAAAATCTAGATCAAAAAAAAAAAAAAATCAGATTTGAAGCAACTTGCTGGAGAGCTCTTAGTCGGCAGATAAGACGATCTCTAGTCATAGGAGAAGATGCATATTTTCTCGATTTCTTATGTAATTGGGTAATCATTGAATCATGTATGGTACTTTTGTTCAAATTTGCAATTTAGGGATCCATAGAATTGTAAAGGCCCCTCAATTTCTCAATTACAATTTATTAAGATTACGTGCTAGTCTAAGGAAAACTAAGGCCCAGTTTGGTAGTTTTCGCGAAGAGTTTTAAAAAAAAATGTATTTTAGTATTTTTTGTATCGTAGAAGTTATTTGGTTGTATAATTTCAAAAACAGGTTAACGGAATAAAAAACAGTAAAATTTGTTTGTACAATAATCTAAAAAACAATAAAAATAAAAATGGGGTAGTGGTGGTGGTGGTGGTGGTGGTGGTACTGTTGTTGGTGATAGTTTCTAAATTCTGGAAAGGGGTCCTGTCTAGTTTGTATATCAAAAATTGTTTTTTGTTTTTAAAAATAGTTTCTGGGAGAAAAGCTATGGGCCAGTTGTTTTTTGTTTTTGTTTTTGTTTTTTGAAAACTGAAAACAAAAAGTGGTTAGATTTAAAAAATAAGTTATAACTATTTTATGTGTTTTTAGAAACATTTTCAAAATTTAGAAAACACCACCACTTCCACCATACTTTCACCACCACGACCACAATTCCACTACCCACCACCTACAAACTATTTTGTGTGTTTTGAAAACATTTTCAGAATTTAAAAAACATCACCACCATGACCACACTTCCACTATCACTACATTTTATGTTTTCATTGTTTTTTGGGTTGTTGTCCAAACACGTTTATTGTTTTCTATTCTATAGAACTATTTTTTGAATCAGATAACCAAACAAGTTTTATGACACAAAAAATACCAAAAATAATTTTTTAAAACTCTTCTAAAAAACAGTTTTCGAATACTGTTTTTTGAGACCAAAACCAAACAAACGAATATATTTTTAAAACTTATATAGAGGGGTGGAGGGGGGGGACGGCTCACCCGACTCGAGATTTGTCTATTCGCATAGCCTGTTTGGTTGAGGTTCCTGTACGACGTCTCTATTTTCAAGAAAACAAATTTATTTAATTCATGAAAAGGAAATGAAAAGGAAAAAAAAATTCAGAGTGAGAATTAAAAAGGTAATTAAACCGAATTGAATAGAATTCTAATAACTTAAATGCTATAAGAAACATAATGGTTGAAGTTTCAATGGGACATACACAATGTCTTGTATTTTATTGACAACAGGAACAATATGAGGAGAATGTGC